CATTAGCACCTCTAGTAATATATTTACTGAGAAAAAGGGTGATGTGTTCAATACTTATTTTATCTGCTGTTTCTGCCTGTTTCAAAGCGCCCTCCCCAGTCCTTTTGTCTGCATGAGTGAGCTGTTTTTGGTCACATCCCTGAGGGTGTGAGTTTGGGTGAAACTGCCCAGGAATCTGGCTTAAAACTGAATTTTCAGTTTTTAATAGTTGAACTCTGACCTCCTCTGTTTAGCGTTGGGTTTTCTCGTTTCACAAAGATGGCTTCCTTTACCTCTCTCTCGAACCATCTGTCCTCTCTGTCCAAAATATGAACATTCTGGTCCTCAAGTCAGTGTCCCTTGTCTTTGAGGAGTAGGTGGACCGCTGAGTCTTGTCCTGAAAAGCTAGTTCAGTGGTTCCCAACCCTGGTCCTCAAGTACCCCTATCCAGCATGTTTTACCTGTTCCCCTGCTATTCAGCAGGTCTTCAGCAGATTGTTAATCACTCATTCATTCAAACCAGGTGTGTCAAATCAGGGAAACATCTAAAAATCWCTGCTTTAAATGTTAACACCTCAAGAGCTTCTCTGAGCTTGATGAGACATTTTCAAAATATATTATTGACTCAGTTTTATGGGGTTTTTTTTGTAGTATTGCCTCTGGAACCATTGATTCTTTGCCATTTATTTGTGAATAATAAATCAGATAACATGTATTAAAGGAGTGATTCTCAACCCTGGTCCACAAGGACTCCTTTCCTGCATGTTTAGATGTTTCCCTGATTTGACACACCTGGTTTGAATGAGTGATTAACAATCTTCTGAAGACCTGCTGAATAGCAGGGAAAATAGTAAAACATGCTGGATAGGGGTCCTTGAGGACCAGGGTTGGTCTATGGCCTTGAGCCATGGAGAAATTGTTTAGTTTCTCCAACATAAAGGTCTGAACATTCCTCACTGCKTTGCACTGCATTACACCACACTGCTCAGCTTGGGGGTCTTGTCTTRGGGATGGACCAATCTCTGTCAAAGGGTWTTGTTGGGTTTTGCTGTTTAACAAAGGCCCAGTTTGGATATCCACAAGTTTGGAGAGTTTCTTTACAATGCAGTTTTAAGCCAGATTCCCGGTCAGTTTCACCCCAACTCACACCCTCAGGGATGTGACCAAAAACAGCTCACTCATACAGACAAAAGGACTGAGGAGGACCCTTTGAAACAGGCAGATAGTTCARACCTTCAGGGCCTCCATTGTGAAGGACGATTGGGTCCAGCGTGATTTACATGTGAATCTAAGTCCTCACTTGGCTTCTCAGGTGGATCTATTAAAGCCAGCATCTCAGCTCTACAGACTTTGAATTTAAAAAGCCTCCTGGATGGGAAGCAAAACGTCTTCAACTTTAGAATTGGAAGTCCAGTTGTTGTTTTTTTTAACCCTTTTTTGATTGATCATGACCTGGATGACTGAGAATCGTCTCCATCAGAAACAAAGGACCAAGAAATCACCAGGACCAGATGGTGTCTCACCTTCTTGCCTTAAAGGGATCCATGATTAGTTGTAACATTTGACTATTTGATAAACATAAATTTTAACTGTAAAATAAAGACGGTAAAAATACTGTAGGCTGTTTAGTAGGAATGTGCTATATGGCAAAAAATTCATATCACAATATACGTTATGATGAGTGTTGGTAATGATATATATCACGATATAAAAC